TTGGATGGTTCAGGCGTTCGGATAGGCTAAAAGTGAATAACAATGTATTCGAGGTGGGAGTTATTTAAGTAAGGGTTATATTGTACATCTTATTGGCGTTGCCATGTCTAGTATCTATTTTGCTTCCAAGTTTTGAGCCTTAACTCCTTTATCATTGATAGTGTTCTTGCAAACAATATAAATTGTTAACTAAGTTTCACAGTCAGCTTGAAGCTTATATGTATGCGAAAAATGATCGACAAATTTGAAAGAGACAATCTCGACGCAAAGAAACCCATCAATTTAACTTAATGGAATTAACTACCGAAATAAACAAGACATATGAAACAATAACCGACGTAAAATCTTCTATTCTTGGGCAGAATACCTTGCAAATTGCGAAAATACCACAACAATAAATAGGAATTTGCAATTTAATGACAAAATACTAATCTGATAAGGGCATTGATAAATATTATCAAGCTTCCTTGAAAAAAATAGAAGATATATATTATATGGAGAGGTGCAAATTATTTAAGCTGTTAGATATTAAATCTAGACTCAGATAGGATTTGAGTCAGATTCTCACCCCGGATGATTTTCTTTTAACTGGAGAAGGTGAGAGGCAAAATGTCGAAAAGGATTTGGACTTAATCGAAAAAGGTACTAGAAGAAGCTGAATAGATAGGGTTCTATTAGCAGCCCAAGGTCCAACCATCTGGAAAAAATGAAAATGCCTCTAGAATGACACGTCTCACCGTCCAGAAAAGAGATGAGAATAAATAAGTGAGAACAACTTTTGAGAAAGCAAGACTTTGTGAAATTCAATGGAAGCGTCAGCTCTACTCATAGCATTGTGGGAAAATTATTCTACCAGTCCTTCATCACCTTAAACGAAATTGGGTGAATACATCTAATATTGCTGATTTACTGGTAGTCTCGAAACAATACTTAAATGCGAAAAATCTGTCCTTCGTCCCTCTTGACCTGGAAACCACAGGGATCATCAAGGAGCGAATACATTTTGCACTTCAAAATGAAAGGATGGCAATCGAGTACATTTTAGTGGAGGTGATGAATACTCCTGAGAAGCTTTCTGAAGAATCAAGTAGAGAGCTGTAAATGGAAAGCATTCCAACAATCTTGGCGCATCAGGAACCTACGAATAGGAACACTATAACCAAGATGCATAGTGAATTGAGAGGAAACAATCAAATAGTCCTACAAGTTGCCAAAAAAGGTGCCACAATGGTAATGGACAGGAAGAAAAGTACAGAGAAAATTAAAAATATTCTCGAGGAGACTACAATTTAGCGAGTGCTAAATCAGAGCCATCGAGCAAAAGAACTGTATTCACCCTATTTAGTTGATGTTGATGAAGTCCTTGCATCTGAATTTTCCCATATGGGTAGGCCTCATGTTTTTATTGGATTTCATATAGTCTTGGTTTCCAAAAGGTATTCATATCTGGGCTTAGTGGACTAAGATTTCGAGTTCGTCTAGGTCTCATCAGCCTCCCCGACTGGACTCGAACCCGGGTTTTTCATTGTGAGGTTTCGACACGTTAACTATGGTTCATAGCGCGCTGGGGATGTAGATGAGACCCAGGCGAGATCGAAGCTATACTCCATCCTGGAGAAAAATACCTTTTGGAAAGCACCGCTATGTGAAATTCAATGGGAATGTGAAGCCTATTCATATGATCGTGAGAAAACTCAACCACCTCAAACGAGGCGGAGTGATACAGTTCTTATTCAAGCTCTACTGGTGGTTTCGAAAACCTACTTATGAAACAAAATAGGGCCCTCGAGTAACAGGCTTCCCTGACCTAGAGTTTGGTTCAGACAATAAACTGTCAAGTGACTCAAGAGTATTGCATCAACAAACCTTAAACACGCGTTGGTATCGAGGACAACACGCCAATTTATTGACGTAACAAAACCACATCCGCTCTCTTAACAAGTATCAACCTCAAACATCTGGGCGTCTGTTGGGATAGACATGAAGGAGCCTACCAAATAATGGGATGCACTATTAAAAATTGCAAAGTTAGCTAAAAGAAGTAGGACTTCGGCTGCCCACTTTTGTCAGTTTAGGGCTTTTGGTGAACTTTTCGAAAGTAATGGTTTCGGACGGGTAGACGAAAGCTCAGCATAGATCTATCAGGGCTGCAGGTCGATGAGCCAAAATCTTCTTCCCCAACGTCCAAGCCAGACCTCATCTGGTGTCTGATGAGGCCGAATGACGAATTAGTGACACGCGTCCTTCTAATTTGTGTGACATGTACCTACAGCAGGCCTCCAACCGAATGACCAATATTCCTAACTTTCTTTCTAGTTCCGATCGCACCACCACCGTTCACCTGCAAGTGTGATCGTGGCTATGTAGGACGCATCAAGAATAGGGTTGCTATCAAAGTTTACAAATGATTTCTTGTAAAGAACTTCGGATAACTAGACAGTGTGTTTACTAATAGTTTTCCTCAGATGACCAAGTTATGTAAAAAAATGACCATTATAAATCCCAGCAAGTGGATTTTTATTTCTGTGATGGAGGCCTCGGATTGCACGGTTGACTGCAGTCCATCAGGGGATTGCTAACGAGATAGCTGATTGTTTGTTTGCCCAAGGGATGATTTTCATTTGGTTCGAAGGTTTGCCAAAAAGGGTTCTGTTGCTTGGGCTCGCCCAAACTTTGCCAAAACTTGGCCCAACATTTCTGCAAATTCATAATATCATTCAGATGGCCTTTCTGGCCTCAAATTCTTCCTACATGTTGCTTTGTCCTAATGAATGCTCATCTTTTTATGGTACTTCCCTTCCTTCCTCACAGCCCTGAGTAAAGCAGAGGTGCTAGAGATTTCTCGAAACATGACCGGCTACAACGAGCTACATGGAGAGCTGGCGCCATCGTTCACCAGCTATCTCGAGACTGGCAGCGCCCACGACAGCCTTATACAGAGGCATGCCGGACAGGCAAGTAGTGGCTTTCTGGCCCTCAGAGTATGCTTTCACCAGACCCCTTTCATGTGAAGCATATGAAGGGGACCACAAATACATATTTTAATATAATTCCTGCCAATTCGATAAAAAACAAAAGCTAATCAGGTATAATGGACACCTGTTTGAAAGTTAAAAAAAGTTTCTCCACTATTCATTTTCATGAAACATTGTGTTGTTGAAAAAAGACAGTAGATACGATGGGAATAAGAAAGTTTTTTGGATGCTACGTCGTGAATAAAGCATCATGGCAGGCAATGATGCCATCTTTTTCTCTGTGTCTATTCAGCCCAGAATGCGGAGAATTACAATCACCTTCTATTGCCTAAGGTGGTGTAAAGACTTAAAGACCAAAAAATAAAAAAATAATGATGCAGAATTGATTATACAAAATTCAGGAGCAGTTTATAGAATAAAAGCTTAATATTATTCAAGATGTAAAGATAGTTTTGAGGCATACTCATAATGAATGTAATAATTTCTCCGATTTTAGTGGAGAATGCTTATTTGCCTGACGACAATGCCATGATAAATCAGGGGTCTGGCTTGCCTTAAAAGTCACGTTTTCCCTGTAACCAATTGGCACCTGTGGCTGTCTGGTGTAGTGGCAATATATCGCCACGATGATCTCGTCTCCGTTTCAAATTCCGTCGGACGTCTCGGCCAGAGTATAAGGCGCCTCGAGCAAACCAGGGTGACATATGTGTTATTACTAAACCTAGAAAGTCAATATAATAGGAAAACTGTGAAAAATAGAAAAAAATTTGACTTTCTCTCACATTTCCAGACATAAATCAGGTAATATTAAGCGTATTCTGCAGAAAATTATAATATTATTTATACGGTGAACCTTGTCCGTTTAGCATGGTAGTTGAGGTTGGCTCCTCATCTCTAGTTAGAGCTTCAAGTTCAAAATATATCTATACTTATAAATATTAAACCAAACGCCTTTTGCTTCGAAATTTGAGAGTTTTATCGGTGTATTTACAAGCTGATTGCTTACTGCTCG